AAATTTCCCCCCTCTTCTCCTGCTTCCAAGGGGGGGTTTGATGATTTAAACGATGGAAGTTTAATCCTTTATTAAAGGCTTTCCAAGGCTTTAGCTTGCAGCCTCTTTGCTTCAATCTATTTACAAAAGGGGGAGGTGGACTTCCTGTTTGAAACCTCCCCGTTTCGGTGACAAATTAAGACGTTTAAGAGTCCAATTTTCCGATCTACTCACGGGTAGTTGTTTTAAGATCAAATTGTCCACAGGAAAAAGTCAGCGCTCTCCGGCAACAGCAATGCGGCTTCACTCCGTGAAAGAAGCAGTCGATTCGAAGCACCGCGCCACTCACCCCACGTCGCTCCGGATCCCCGAAACCGGGTTTCCCCACGAGTAGGGGAGACGCAAAAGGTGCCAGCCGAATCCCACGTCCACAAGCTTCTCCCGCCTGTGGTTTTTAGTGGGTCTCCGCCTTCGCCGTGGCGGCCAGACCCTGATTTCCACGGAGCGGATTCCTCCCGATCAGAGGAATTCCGCCATTGCCGGAGGCGCTAACCCAGAAGTTGAACTGCCGACCTTCTGATCAGCAAGTACTAGGCTCTGTGGTTTAACCCACAGCGCCACCTGCGTCCCCCTCGTTTGGTGAACATTGTCATTATTTGCCAAGACGATTTTGTCGTGAGAAGTGATCCTGCTCTTCAGTGCTAGAAGGCCAATTCAACCCATTTCAGCTGCTACTAAGCAAGTACCATTGTGTACTCCACTCACTGGTTATATGTGCCTTTAACTTGTTTCTTAGTTAAGCTGGAAGAATTTAAGAAGCTGTTTCACATAATAGAACAGTCACAATGTGGGGACTGCCTTAAACTGCATTCTGTGGCAACTCTCTGTCTGGGCAATAAGCCACTCATCTGCAACAGTTCATGGATTGGGTGATTTGAATGACTGTGAAGAATGTTGTCCAATCCATGTGCGATAATAGATTGCATGTGGAGACAGCTGTCATCAGTACAATTCAGAGTGACCTCCACTGCATAGCAAAACAAAAGCAAAAAACTACTATGTCTTGAGGATTTTGGCCTTGCTTTCTATTATTATTATTATTATTAAAATAAAAAATATTGTTATTTATTCATTATTTAACAAGGGTGGTAAAAGGTAAAGTTTGTAAAGGACCTCTGGACAGTTAAGTCCAGTCAAAGGCAACTATGGGGTGTGGCGCTCATCTCACTTTTCAGGCTGAGGGAGCTGGCATTTGTTCACAGACAGCTTTCCAGGTCATGTAACCAGCTTGACAAAACCACTTCTGGTGCAACGGGACACTGTGACGAGTGCCAGAGTGCACGCAAACACCAATTACCTTCCCGCCAAAGTGGTACCTATTTATCTACTTGCACTGGGGTGCTTTCAAACTGCTAGAAACTGGGACAGAGCAACAGAAGCTCACCCCGTCACGTGGATTTGAACAGCCAACCTTCCGATCGGCAAGCCCAAGAGGCTCAGTGGTTTAGACCACAGTGGTGGACATCTAAGACACACTCCAAGTAAACCCGTTGAAATCTATGGAGTTACAAAAGTGTACTGATTTCAACAAGAGCTTAACTAATGGAACATACATTCCACCTTTCTGTTAAAAATTCACCTAAGGTGGCTAGCAAAATGAGTTCTCCAAATGCCCACAATCCTAGAACAGTTTCATAACCAAGACAACAAAAGAAAAGCAGCAATTAATGACAAGGGAGTAAATAGAATCAGGCCATCAGGCAGAGGTGTGCTGAAATAAGAAGAAAAAAAGCTTAACTTGCTTGATCCTAACTTTACTTCCGTGAATATGAACAGAGTTCATGGTTTATGGTTTAGAGTTTTCACATATCTCCCTTCTGTCTGCTGTTTCTGCACAACCTGAAAATCTGCTCTTTGATAATGGGAGGGTGGGGCTTGGGAACTGGTTGGGAACTGGTAGGCGGGGCTGCAGAGAGATGGCCTCCTTACATGATCAGAGAAGTAACTTAAGATAGAATGCCAGCAAGGAGGGGGTTAAATGGACCTCCAAGGACAAGAAGTTCCAAAACCTGGATGGTACAGTTGATGAATCCCTTTCCTATGTTTCTTCCTACCAACCCTCAGAAAGAGGCCTCTTCAAATAATCTCAGCGTATGGGAGGAAACAGGCCTTTGTTTATCCTTCCTGATCCCAAGACTTTGTAAAACCTTACAAGTGATAACCCGCATTTAGAATTGTATCTAGAAATGGATTGGCAGCCATTGTAAGTGATGTAAAAGAAAAGTTGTGTGCTCCCTCACAAAAAAACCTGGCCATATTGCTAACTGTACTAGCTGGGGTTTATAGTAGCTAAACTAGTTTTCAAAGGCGGCAGCATGGAGAGATCCTACTGATTTAACTAAGGCATGTGTGACTGTGCCATCTTGTATGGTCAGGAAAGGAATCCTTTCCAATGTCCAAGAAAAGCTCTATTACTGCTCAATTCTGCTGATGGTATATGCTGTCACTCTGGTAACCGACTACAGAAAAGAGACTACAGAATGCCAAGCAACCCTAGAGATGGGTCACTGTAGGGTCACAATGCTTCTTCTTCCACTAAACAAAGGGACTGCCCTTTGCAATATATCTTTGGAACTGATCTGGGAAAAGGCAATCTGCTGATTTTTTAAGGGGCCTTACACTAATTAGTCAACAGTTATCTTTTTTTAATCTACATTTACTTTAATTGGGCAATAAAATGTCTTCTGGTCATCCTAGAATTCGTGGGCACCCCATAGGTCAACCAGGTCCTGCTCACAATGCAATTCTGTACAAATCTTATCAGAGGTGAAGTCCCGTTGGGTTCAATGGGCTATGCAACCAAAAATCTGGAATTTATACAATTATTGGCATTTTGGAGAAGAGCAAAAAAGAAAAAGAAGAAACAATCCCTGCAAATGTTCGAGGTAGGGAGACTAGCATTAAAATAAAAAATAAAAAAAAATCCCCGTTCTAATGAAAACCACATTTTAAAACCCAGGATGGAATTCCTGGAGTCTAATGCTCAAGGCAGCCTGGTCTGGATGAGCGTGATTGGTAGTTGCAACACTGTACTGGGGAGAATGCTTTGAAGATCGTGCACACCCCTGTGATACCAATAAAATAATGTGGTACTGCCAAAATAATGGCCAGATCCTGGAAAGATATTTAGACTGTACAGATGGGAAGGAGTTTATACTAGCTAAACCAGTTAAAAACCCCTCTCTCTCTCTCTCTCTCTCTCTCTCTCTCTCTCTCTCTGGAAAGAAAAATCAGTGCAGCATATATTCTAGCAGGGAAACTAGCCATAATCTGTTTTAAAACAAATAGATTGTGTACAGCTGTCCTGTGTGCAAGGGGAAAATGATGATTTAATGTTGATTAAGAGAGAAGGCCTTTGAAGTGAGCGGAGCAGGAGCCCACAGAATGTCTTTCGTGATCATTATCAGTCTTTCACCGAAGGCGGACTTGGTGCCAAAAGCTCTTTCTCTAAACTGGTTAAGGTGGATTCGGGAGCGAAGGCTTTGTGTGTTTTAAAAGAGCTTCTCGTTCACAGGCCTCTGATGTCTTATTCTTTTAGTAGCTCTAATGTCTGAGAATAAACAGATGCAGCTTTTTCACTGGTTAACTCCAAAAAAGGGGCAAGGTCCACACAGTTTCGCCTGCATCTTGGCGTTCGTCAGGCTAGCGACTGAGCATGCATCCTGCAATAAAATCAAATCAAAGATGATTTTTTCCCCTCCTCTCTCTCTCTCTTTCCCCCTATGAGCAGATGTTTTGGTAACAGGAAAAGGACTGAGTTTTCCTTCTTTTCTTTTTAAAAAGGCCCTTATGTGAATCATTAAATTACATAACGAGTATGGGATGATGACGATCTGCTTGTAATAGTATTGGTAGACAATGAATGCACGCAAGTGGGTCTAAGGAATCCTTTAATGTCTGTAGATAAGGGCAGTACACAGAGATAATTGTTGGCAGCAAATTGCAGATTTTATACACGTACACAGAATGTATATGAAGAAGTAGAAAGAGCCTGAAACCCCTATTATGTATATTGTCAGTTGTTATAGGATATTGTCATCTGTCAATAATTTGGTGAAAAATACACAAATGCTAGTGAGCAGAGGAAAAAATGCCCATAATTAATATTCTTTCTAGTTAAGAGATTTTGGCTGTGATTTTTTTCAGCCCTGGAGCTATTTCAGGGTAAATGATTTGACAGTACAAGCACAAAAAAGAGACTCAGGAAAGGAAAAGCGGTGAAGAAAAGGAATTGGATAAATTCACTCGCTGATAACTTAACTAATAGTGCCGAATGATTAAAACATAATGTGAGGCAATCTGGTGTGTTTGTATGTGAGGTGAGATTTTATCTAGGGGATTCTTGGAATTTAGGTCAGGTTTTTAGCCATGACATGATGTAACTCTTATTTATTATCTATTTATTCCTCCAAGGAGCTCAAAGTGGGGTGGGTGGTTACCCTCACAAGAACCCTTGGAGGTAAGCTAGGCTGGGAAACTGGCTGAATTCAGTAGTGGTTAGAGCAGCCTTTCTCAGCTCTGCTTCCCTAGATGTTGTTGGGCTACAACTCCCATCATCCCTGACCAATGGCCATGCTGGCTAGGGATGATGGGAATTGCAGTTCAAGACCATCTGCATTGAGAAAGGCTGAGTTTACCCTTGAACCTAGGACCCTAGCTTCAAATCTCCACTCAGCCATGAAGCTGGGTGCACCATCTTGAGCTACTTGGAGGAAATGTGATAAATTAAATAAAAATATGAGTGTTTATTTCCATTTTGAACTGCATATTCACTGTCATTCCCCATTTCCTACCTTCTATAATTTTGAATTTACTGCTGAATTGGATATCTGTCTCTTTTTTTTAGTTTTCTCCTTTTTTAAATAAGCAAGCTCAGCAACATAAGCATCAAGCAAAAAATTGTCATTTAACATTTAGTTATGTCAATACTTAAAAGAAAGTGACACACTGCTGCACAAGTATTAAAGAACTGACTCAATGAATTTTAAAGTGTCGCTAATATGTAGACATTCCTTTATACCGCTTTCATTTCTGTGGTTCAGAATGGAACCAAATTCTTCTGCAACTGAGGCTGCAATCATATACAGTCCAATTAGAAACCACACTTGTACAGGACCAGTAAGAAAAGCCATGTAAAAGTTAAAACAACCCAATTTGTACAAGAGAGAATTTTGCTGTGAAATTACAGCATGCCCTTTTCGACCAAACCCATCAACCAGGACTTCATCATTTTCCTCAGTGAAGTTCAGATAACCATCATGAGGAACAAAGGCTGTTATTTTCCTTCTGTTCTTGATGAGCTGAACTCTGACACACTTCCTGATGGCAGAATTTGGCTGCTTAGCTTCAACACCAACTTTCCCCAGGACAATTCCTTTGGCATGGGAAGCTCCCCCAAAAGGGTTGGCTTTCAAAGCAGTACCCAGATGTGCCTTCTTGTATTGTTTGTCATGCCATTTCTGGTCTCGGCGATGACTGCCCAGCTTCTTGGCTGGCCGAAGCCCACAGCACTTGCCCATCTTCCTCCTGCTGCAGCTGTTGCCGGTTCACCTGAAGGAACCCGAGCCTGAATTGGATATCTGAGCTGTACTGGGTTCTGGACCCACACAAGGGTGTATTGTCCTCTCACATTGCGTAGACTGTTTAGAGTATGCAACTGGTGGTTAAAGTGCTTCCTGCTTGGCAGGGGGTTGGACTCGATGGCCCTTGTGGTCTCTTCCAACTCTATGATTCTATGATTCTATGATTCTATGCCTGGGGAGATCAGGAGTGGAAGTTGCCAAATAGGAGACTTGGAATTGAGCTTACTGATCTTGTTCTTCTGAGAAGACCCCCATAAGGCAGTGGGAATCCTGCATCTGTTGCCCTAGATGACACATCCATGGCTGTGTCAAGCAGAGAGAGAGAGAGAGAGAGAGAAATAGGATGAGACACCTGTTGTTACCAGGCTACCTTACATTAAATTAAGTTCACATTTAAAAGTGAGCCTACCTACTTTGCCCTTTCCAAAGCAATACACCAACCAAAGCAGCCTTTCTTCAAAATTTGCATGTCCCTGAATTGCACAATGCCGTTCTCCAGCCAGGGTATATGTACAAAAATTAATATACACTTGGGGGAAGTGTGCATATAAATGCATATATTAGAAGAAGAAAATGCAAGACACAAAAATGCATTCTGTTAGGGGAAACTGCTTTGCAAAAATATGCTTATTGGGGGAAATTTCATACCAAAATTTGTGCATGTTTTGAGAAATTGACACTAAGATGCTAATGAATATTCATGATAACTTTTCCATGTTCCAAAAAAATAAATAAATTACAAACTGATATAGAAATGTTGAGGACAACATAAGACTGGAAAAAATGGCAAATTGACATCATATTTTCCCATACCTGGTTGGCACTGGAGCGGGTGCTGCTGCTTGCACTGCAGCTGGGTCAGGATTGGTGCTAGGTGCTTGTACCGCCTTGCTCTGATGAGCCACCTGGCTGCTGAATTCTGCACCCACTGCAGTTTCCAAACCACCCAGAAAGGCAATGCCATGCAGAACGTATTGCCTAGAAATAGCCAGAGTGTAGACAATAGTACTTAGGCTTTCCTTGTCTAAATTAGGCCAATGCTGGGCCCTGAGCCAAAATGGATGGAAGACACTCTGTGCCACCAAGGCCATTTTATTTATGATGCCATCAAACAGAAGGAACTTCCAAATAAAAAATGATGACTAAAAAACAAACAACTCTTACAGTAAAGCAAACAGAACCCAGACCCTACAAGTGGTTGTAAACCACTCTGATTCCCTTTTTTCTGAATAGAGAGATATACATATTTTTTTTTACAAATAAACTGCTTATTTATTTAAGTTCACACACCCCAAAGCAAAAACAAAAAAAAAGACAAGATGTGTAAAATCTTTAAAAACAAAAAATTCTTATGTGTTAAATATGTCTACTTGCAACTCAGGATGTTGAAACATCTTCAGACTTTATATGTACCAAGTAGCACAGATAAAAATTATTTTAATCATCCAGTGATTAAGCTGTCCAGAAACAGAAAATCACCCAGCTGCTTCAACAGCAGACATATAAAACTTGTGTGACAAAAAAGGATCATTAACCAATCTGATTTTCTTGTTGGGAGGGTTTAATGCTGTTGGGTCTAGTATTAAATGTAGAATTTGATAGCAAGTCTGAACATTTTAACGATGTGTCCATGAATATAAGGCATGCATCCACTGGTGACTTTATGACTTCTCCTCTGTATAATTAGTAGTATCTTGTTTATGAGCTTACTTCTGTTGCCTCAATCACATGAAAATGTGAAACCACTGTAATAATTTACACCCACTGTATGGCATTCAAGATCTAAGTTTTCTTTTCATTAGCATGGAAATAGTCACTATAATAGCCTCTGTGTACGCCGACCAAAACAGAGGAGGGGAAAATCCAAGGCCAATATTTTATCTTTAATATTCCATAGCATGGTATTTCTGATTAAACGACCACACGTTAGATCTGTCTTGCCAGCATCTGCTCCAAGTTTCTATAAAACTCTCCCACCCCAGAGTTAACAAGGATAGGTAAGCACACTTAACAAGCTCATTAAAAAAATGTTTGGCTGTGCAGTCTGGGAGTGAGATTAATTATTGTCATTGGAGAAAAATGACTCGGTGAGTTTCTGGAAGCTCAGAAATCTGTGCCAACAGACAAATTATTTAATTTTCCTTTGTGTTTGGTTCTATAATAGTTCCCTCATCCCACATCTCCCTCTCCACATTCATGCAACATAGCTGGAGCTTGTTAACGCTATTTGAGATAGAAGAGATTTGGATTCCAATTGTGTGTGTTTTTACCTACTCCCAAGTAAGTTTGTACAGGATTGCTTTTTAAGTTTTCTGTTGAAATCAATGGCCATCAAAGCACTTCAGTTTAGTCAGATTGGGCCTGACATATTTAACATCATAGTGGTAACCCAGTGATACAATGAGAACACAAATCCCAGTTGTGTCATCTTGAATATACTATCTATAGGATATATCTACGGTATTTCCCAAAGCCTTGCTTGGCATCCATTTACATTTTAATGGATAGTCATATTACTGGCATTAGGGATGCGGGTGGTGCTGTGGTCTAAACCACTGAGCCTCTTGGGCTTGCCAATTGGAAGGTCGTGGTTTGAGTCCACAAGACAGGGTGAGCTACCGTTGCTCTGTCCTAGCTTCTGCCAACCTAGCAGTTCGAAAGCATACCAGTGCAAGTAGATAAATAGGCACTACTTAGGTGGGAAGGTAAATGGTGTTTTCGTGTGCTCTGGCTTCCGTCACGGTGTCTCATTTTGGCAGAAGCAGTTTAGTCATGCTAGCCACATGACCCAGAAAGTTGTCTGTGGACAAACGCCACTCCCTTGGCCTGAAGCGAAACGGCACCGCAACCCCTATAGTTGCCTTTGACTGAACTTAACCATCCAGGGATCATTTACCATTTTTTACATTACTACTGACATTATAAGAAACATTTATGACTCCTGAATGAGCTTGAACAACACGAGAAACATATTCTTGTAATCTTAGCATTTGGGATAGGCAACCAGTGCTTTCATTTGTATCATGCAGTACCAATTGCATCCAGCCAATTATGATTTCCAGAGGATTTGTCTTCCTACCCCCTTTCTGGATATTTGCAATGCCTTGTTCATTAATGCTAATGCTCATGTTCATTAATGCTAATACTAATGAATTCATCCACAGGATAATATATCCTACTAATACAACAGCTTTGTCCTTATTTGTTTGAGCTGACCTTAAGTACTGAGCATGCCGGGTGCCTAATTAGCAGCTGGCTGCAATGTTCTGTACCATATGGGCTACATCTCAAAGACATAAATAGAGACTTATGAATCAGGGTTGGGATTCTCCTCTGTTGAATTCCTTCAAGTATTTACAAAATAAGATGATGGGGGTAAAAAATTAATATATTTGAAGTACTTTTTGACATATGTTGGGCGTTGCCACTGATAGCTTACAATAATCTGCATACTGCACAATTCTGCAGATATTTCATGGTGCAAAAAGCTGGAATTATATTTGAGGATACACCAGCAGGAATCTGTGGGTTGTGTCCAACGCTGTGTGCAGGGAGTTCTGCTCAAGAAACAGAACTTCCCTTTCCTCTCCCCGCACACCCTCAAAACCTGCTCCCAGGAATTGGAGCACCTTTGGGAGCAGATTTTGAGGGTGCAGGGGAGAGGAGGGGGAAAGTTCCATTGTGGAAACAGAACTCTGCTGCACTAGTGGAATGGTAGCATTAGATTTGACCCCCTATATCTAGAGCACATGGGCAATGAAAAGTAATTTGGAGTATAGCACTGAGAGCCCTATGATGTATTCTAAAACACTGGGCTTCAACCTGGGTTTCAACACTTGCCCTAAGTTGCACTACTGTCATGAAAATATATATCATTAAAAAACAAGGTGCTGTAGCTCAAGTTTGGGCTCAAGTTGGGTCTGAAGACTACCATCCTAGAATAAAGGTTCTGATCACTGGCAGTCTATTATTGCAACTACAAAATGTGGTAGAGTGCAGTGATCCTGTTCAATGTTCCCGTCTGTCAGCCTTGCCCATCCCACTGATTTTTTTTAATCCTGTGTCTGCTTGGCATTCTCAGTCCTCATTGGCTATGTTTGGGGTCATCCATCCTCTCAGTTTTCTTCGGAGATGCTGGCTTTTTTGCAAACCTTAGGATTCAGGCATGCCAATACCTTACTTTGGTGCATGAGTGGTCCTCTTTTGGCTACAGAAGAATGCACACTGACCTTCAAAAATAAGAGGACAGGATGCTGCAGCAGAGCATCTTTAGCAATCCTAGGAGATGCTAGTTTTTTTATTTACACCATGCCATAACTTTATACAGCTGAAATTTGTTTGGTGATGGGCTGCTCTGTCTCCTCTGCTCTCTTATATGTTTAAGGAAAAGTCATCTCTTTCAAAAGCATCCATTTTATTGGATACTCCGCTGCAAAATTTCATTGCAGCAGCTCTGTTTTCAATTTTTTGGCCGCTGCTATGTTAGAAGACCTGCTGTACATGCAATATCTCCCAGTTGTGCTAAATAAGGCTAATGTGTGCCAGCACTTTCTGTTTCATATATGAACAAAATCAATAAAAAAGAACTAAAGAAGGAGGAAAACCCATAATGAGCCCAGCTTTCTCTAATTCTCAACCACATAGCCCAAATTTTCACTCACTTACAGATCCTGCCAACTTCTGAGGAAACCAATTCATCCTGTTGTGAGTGGCAGATTGAAAAGAGCTTTTTCTTCAGATAGTCTTTTCTAATACTGTCCCATTGGTCAGTTTAAAAGAACATACGCTTATCAAGCCAGTACTGAAAGACCATGGCTTAGTGGTAGCGGGCATCAGCATCTCCAAGTAGAGATCAGGGAGAATCCTGGACAACTGTGGTCTGTCAGTGTAGAAAATCCTGAGCTAGATGGACCAATGACCTGGCAGCTTCCTATGTA